CTTAAGTAATGGATTAATTCATACCTCCATTCATTTACCAAGGGGTCAGAAATATTCCTTAGAGATTTTGGTCAATGATGACATCACATATTTGCAGCACATCCATGATTTGCATCTGTTTTTCTAGCATGTCCCAAAGGTCTTCCACTAGTTTGGGATGTGGTGACTGCCGATGTATAGCAAACACACTTGTTATCATAAACAATTAGTCGAATAATTAGAATTACTTGCATGATCAATTTAAAGAGCATGTTTGTTGTCAGTGTATCCTGCTCTCTATTTATCAAAGACAGTATGACAAAATGTTTCACTCTGGTGCCATGTAGGGAGGAGTTCAATCATGCGTCAGGTGCTTGCCAGATTCATGGTCTCATACAGATAAATACCACAGAGGGTAACATGACAGCCTCAGGAGGAGTATCAACTCACAGCTTTAATAGTAGAAAATAATAAATACTTTGGAAGATCAAAGTCAGTTTGGGTTGTGTGCGGGTGTTATTTCGGTTGTATTGATTTTTGGTGTTATTTGTTTTCATTGAAACCAGTGCATTACATATATGTTGTGTAAAGCTCCAGTTTATTTTGACAGTCGATTGCATTTTTCACTGTTCTGGATATCCACACCTTATATGCAGAGATGCTAAATTTCAGAGAGACAGGAGTGGACAATTAGGTGATGAAAAAGAAATCGGAAGAGCAGGAAAATATGGGTTAATCACTACTAACTAATATCCTCATTCTTTCCATATTATTAGTCAAATGCAATATAATGCCCTAATCACTGGCTTTTTATTTTAAAAAGAATCACCTTACCCAACATCCATGTGTTTTTATCTGTTTTGCATCACTGTAGATGTAATTTTGGACATGATGTTAAGATGCACAAACTCTTGTAAATTGTTCAGTGTTTGATTCTAAAGGAGGCACAATTAAAGAGGCCATAGAATGCAAAACCCAGCTTACCTTGTCATAGATGAATAATGATAGTTCAGTGGGTGAAATGGACGTACAGAGAAGTTCAAACCCCATTGACACCTCATTTCTATGCAAATCTCACAATTCTAAACCTCCACCATAAAACGGGCGAATCCAAACAAAGCACCGAGTTGACGTCAATTCAGGGATGTTGCCGAATTTGGTTGTGGCCTGTACTTTTGTCATGCCCCGAAATTGAAATACAGACCAGCCCACTGGTTCACTGGCCAAAGAGAACATGAATAGAGGTAGATGTAAGACACCAGTTTAGCCATTTAGCCAACAGTTAGGTTTACTTCTATAAGAATTGCAAAGCAGGCAGTGTCTCTATTGAAAATGAGCCAGAACCACGGGCGATATGCAGTGTTCCAGGCTGCACGGAGAAAGGGGAAATTTTTCACAGTCTTCCCAAGGATCCGAAGACACGACAGACATAGATTATTTTTGCCTGTCAGAAGATCAATGCAAAGTTTGATACTCAGCTTTTCATTTGCTCTAAGCATTTCACCGAAGGCGGCTTTCAAAATCTTGGACAGTTCAAAGTAGGATTTGCTAAACTTTTTTTTACCGAAGGGCCTGGTCTGACCGTAAGGCCATCACAACCGCAAGCTGTAAGTAATATTTAGTCGCTAAACTGTTAGGCCCCAGCGTTGAAAAGGAGCGACTGAACCCAACCCGGTGACAGAAGCATACTGGACACGGGGCCGCAGTTGTCCAGGCTACCGTCACCAGGTCGGGTTCGATTGCTCCGTCCTCCGCTGGCTCCCTGTTTTGACTATGTGCTGCACTGTACTCCACCAAAATCCTGGACGAATTTGATATTCCCCCCAGACATTTTTTTTTGTTATGAAAAGTAGGACATGTCTGGGAAAAAGAGGACGTCTGGTCACCCTACCATATCAACAATTTGATGTTTCAGTGATTGAGTGCTTGTTGCCATACTGTTGGGTCTTAAGAAGCCCCAACAGTAAAATATGTTTTTAAAGAGGACAATCCATTTGACCTTGTTAGTTATTGCAAAGGATGTTACTTGTTTCAGCTAAAGCTAAATTTAGGCTCCAAACACTGGGGATGTAATGTTTCAACATAAGATTAAGTTGTAGTTTACATGTCAGTCACAGTTATCTTGGTTTGGTCAGAGCTCAGAATTTTTCATATTTCATGAGGCAACTTACCTATGATGATCGTGGTTAGGCTTAAACATGATAAACCTTAGTCAAGCTTATCTTCTTGATTTAGCTGTAACCAGTTGGTACTTGTGGACAATATTTACACACATGGGGATCACGGGATTTGGTTAGGTCTATGATTGAGAGGAAGTTTGTTGAAGTTCCTAAAGATCCAAATGAAGTTGGAGCTGACTGCCCCTGAATTTGGTGTTATTGGCAGAGATACTGTATGAACATATTGGAAGAATGATGAAGTTTTAAGAGATATACCATTGGATTGTTTTATTTTTTCACAGCTGCTGATAATATCAGTTACTCGCTGTGTTTGTTGAATTTGTACTTTCTGGAATGTAGGCAGCAACCATTTTAGGAAACTCTAGAGAAAAACAACATGGGCAACGGTCCAAAACCCTCCTTTATTCACAGAGACCATCAATGTTGGCTCCACTTGAGTGCTAAGATCATTTCTGCAGCCTTCAATTCCTCCAGAGGAGTCACATGCTGATCCTCACACTGTAGCTAAAAATGTCAGAAATGTACCAATTAAAATGTAGTGCCTCACTTTCGGCTCTTTGTTTTAAAGCTTTCATTTAGGTGACTGCACTTTTGTTAAAAAGAGTATTTTCAGTTGTTACTATTATTGCTATAATTAAGATCCAAGTATTTTTGTTATGAGCTGCTGCTGTAAAACCTCTCTCTCAAAACTCTTATTGTTTTGTGTTCTGTCATTGCCATAGATGTTTAGAATTGGCCTAGATTGCTTTGCTGCTGACAAAGCCAGGAAGAATACAGTGCAGCCAATCAAAATGGTTTAGTTTCTCCTGAGGGCACTACCCTTAAAGTTACTTAATTTGATATGAGTGAGCAGAAACAGGTCCACACGCAAGTAGGAGAGAGGTTACAGATACGTGGAAAGCAAGCCATGAGCACACAGAAAAGGAGCATTCAGTCATGTGTTTGTTGTATTTGGACCTCAAGGAACTAAATCTTCATGTGTAAAACATCTAAGATGCACTTAGAAAATAGTTTGTGTGTTTGATAAAACAGCTTATATGAGGATTTATTGTGTCTGGTGTCTTAAAGAGGCCTAATTAAAATTGACATTTATTCTAAGAGTGTTTCTTCTCTGAGAAAATCATCAAAAATATTGACAATGCTTGTGTCTTATCTGCTACGCTCAATAGGCTAACAAACCCTCCTGTGACTGTGGCATCTGAACTCCTCTCTGTCAGGGCCTGCAACAAAATGTCTAGTTTTGTTGAAATGATTAGAGGTCCAGTCCCCAACAGGTCCAGTAACAAAGTTGTCTCCAACTAGGGCTGATCTTGACAAAATTTACTTCAAAAACCACAAAAACTTAGACCTACCGGTATTTAATTGTTATTTACATGATTTAGTGCATATGTTTGAAAAGGGATTGAAAAAGAGAACGTATTTTATCATACCTCTTGTCCTTCCTATATTCTATAAAACCAGAAATATTCCTAAATCCTAACCTACTATTGCATACTGCCCCAACGGTCTGTTAAGTATGCAGATAAATAAGTTACATATAAAACCGATACACGTTTACTTGTCCCTACCCTGATCTTCATTTATCCAGTTAATACTCATAGTCCAAACGACCACAACTTTTGCTAAATGTGTATACACCCATTTACAGATAGTAAGGGTACCCATTGATGGTCACCAACCTTCCTCCATCTCATATCTTTTTAAGAGAACCAGTTTGAGCCTTTTTTTTTTAAAACAGCCTCATTTTTGGATATTGCTTTAAGTCAACACTGAGTTTGTTCCATACATTCACAGCATTAACTGAAGTGCACATTGTTTTCATTCTGTTGGTTTACGTAAGAGCTAAACATTAACATTAATTATATCTTGCCTCTTTCTCAACAAATATTTTGTATGCTCACTGGTAGCTGTTCATTTAAAGCCTTATATATTAGTTGTGAGCTTTGTGATTTAACCAAGCATTAAGGATAAAGAGCTCCAGTCTGAGCAGGAGCTGGAAAAATGAATTTGTGCATTAAGCTTAAGAAGACTTTCTTACATCAGTGGTGTTTTCACACGTCTGCCTAAAGAGCCTCTCAGAAAGCTGCAGCTGCTACTGATCATGTCCTCACTAAAACTGAGAAAGTGAAGCACATTAACCAAGTTCTTCAGTTGTTACACTGGCTCCCTGAATCTATGGGAATACAGTAGATTTCAAAATACCCCAGTCTATAAATCAATAAATCACCTACCACAAAATACATTAAAGACTTGTTGTTGAATCAACCCCTTCAAATCTACTTGTAATACCCAGAACCAAACATGGAGAACCAACTTTTTGTTCTCATGCTCAACTATTCTGGAACAACCTCCCAGAAAACTGTAAAAGTATTAAAACCCTTAGTTGCTTATCTCATCAATTATTTATCATATTTCTTCATCATCATTTTATCATTTAAACTATTCATTTTTATTTTCGGTTATTTGTGTTCATTAATTATTTTTACGACCATTAGCCCAATGCAATCTCTTTTTTATTATCGTCTTTTTTATGTTACAATCAATATAACTTTGAATCATCTTGCTAATAAAAGGTGTTATATAAAAAAAAACTCACCTGGCCTATTACAACAAAATGTTGTGATTAAAACTGTTATGTCTAAATCACCCACCCTTACCTTCTTATACCTCTGTAATTCCTCTGAAGTACATACATATCTCTATATTCAAAGATTTAAACTCTTAAGAATTTCCTGCTGCTTGTTCTTTGGGGATAACTTTAAGTGGGCTGCAGTTCTTTCTCTGTACACCTGAAGTTGCCTAGAGAAAGTAGATCATCATCTTTTTGTATTATTTTTACAGCTTGGTGGATGACCGCTGCGTTGTCCAGCCTGATGCAGGAGACCTCAACAATCCCCCGAAGAAGTTCAGGGGTAAGCAGCAAATGTACTTCTTTTATATCGCTGTGCTCAGGCTTTAAAACCCTAACTACAGTCTGTTGATACTGTGGAGTGTGTGAGAGACAATGCTGAATGTGTTGTACTAAGTCTCTCTGGTGACGGCCACAATGTCTCTGTCCACTGGGCTCCAAACAGACCTGCCTTTGTCAGTGTTAACGATGTGACTGTGTGAGTGTGTGCGTCTTTGTCTACATATGTGCCAGCATTTTCCCTGTGTGCGCGCTTGTTCGCACACATTTTTACCAAGTTAGACCGGATGGGGAGAATCATTACCGATGCTGATTACTCTAAAAAACAAAGCAGACAATTGGTAAAAGCCTTGATTTGCTACTTTTGCTGAACATCCTATTATTAGCTATTATACAGGAAGTGTAGCAGTTCTCAGGTTCTAGGAAGTATAATTAGTGACCCACAGTTCTCAGGTTGGTAGGTAATGTCACTAAGGACAGGCATGACCCTGACTTCTATGACTGTTTAGGGATATGAAAATACAGGTTTCCTTTGCAGTTCCATGAATAAATTACTGGGCAAAAGTCAATACAATCCCAATTCCCAAATTTTTACTTGCTTCCATAGACCTTCTGTTTTGAAGCCTTTAAGAATGTTCCTTATAAGAACTTCTTTTATTAGATGTTCATTGATTTCATGTTAAGTTCTCCAAAACTCCACTTTTTGTAGGAGTTATATGGCATCAGGGTTACCACAAAAGTGAACCACGTGTGTGTACTATGTTCCATGCATTGGAGTTGCCTAGTTTCATTCATTTCAAGCTTATATAACGCCAGACTAGTGTATTCTTCACCATATCCGCATATTGAATACCCCACGTGCCCAATTCAGTGACCCAGAGGGCAGCTAAGCTGTGCGGAGCTGATACCTCACCCCTTTGAAAAAAGCTCAGCTAGCTGAGCGGTGGAAAATCTGTACAAAAAAACAATTGGTTAGTGCTTTGTTAGAGCAGGCTTGTGAGGTTAAAACTATCATTTGTGCTATTGTAGTTTTAGAGATATTGAAGATCATTTTTTGGTCCTCAGCGGTCACCATCTCCCCTTAAAGGTATTGTGGAGAAATTTAACAAATTTTTTAAGACTCGCCCTCTCCAGTTAAAAAAAAAAAATGTGGGTGCGAGGGCCCATTTCTCCTTGTGCATGCTCTGTTTAAAAGTTTCTGTTCTCATAGCTTATACAAGCTTACTGTGTCTGAACGTCCACCCTAAACCCTAAAACCCTCAATCACTTTATGGAGCGGGGACTATATAGTGGACTTTATAGCAAACTTGGGTAACTTACCGATGACCTTTTCCTCCGTCGGTCACGTAACTCCTTCTCCACCGCACGTTGCCTGCGCCAACTTTGTTATTAGTCGCCGATATTAAGCCACTGTGACAGTGTTACTGTAAACTGGCTTTTAATAAAAGACAATATGATTAAGGATATAAAACTTTATACTGGTTTATTAACTTATGTTAGCAAGGTTAACATGGTTAAACCCGCTCTTTCATTGTGGACTCACTAAGTATGAGTTTCAAACCTTTTGTGATGAATGCAATGTGAAAGATTTTGTTTCATGAATGTTCCCATAACTTTAAAGGGGTCATAGAATGATTATATAGGATATTTGGTGTTGGGCCTTAAGCTCTCTGAATAGGGCTCTAATGCAAGCCTGGTTAAGAGTCCTAGAATGAAACGACAGGTTTTCTTCCTTTTATGGTATGCTCATGAATATTCAGATGAGCTGATTGATTGGTTTACAATGAGTGAAGCTGCTGAGCAAAGACACATCATAGCAACAAGCACTCACTCACTGAAACATCAAATTGTTAATATGGTACGGTGACCAGACGTTCTCTTTTTCCCGGACATGTCCTACTTTTCATACCAAAAAAAAAAATGTCTGGGGGGAATTTCAAAATTGTCCTGGATTTTGATGCAGTGCATCACGTAGTTGAAACATGGAGCCAGCCGGGGACGGAGTGATTGAACCCGACCCAGTAACGATAGCCTGGACAACTGCGGCCCCATGCTTGTTGAAATGATTGAATGCTTCCCTGCCTTACTGTGCAGGCGGGGGGAAGTGGTCCACCCCAAAACAATCAAACTTTGAGGGATCTTCTGATAGACAAAAATAATCCATGTCTGTCGAGTCTTCGGATCCTTGAGAAGACTGTGAAAATGTTCCCCTTTCTCCGTGCAGCCTGGAACACTGCATTTACCCCCGTGGTTCTGGCTCATTTTCAATAGAGAAACTGCCTGCCTTGTAATTCTTGTAGAAGTAAACCCAACTGTAGGCTAAACAGCTAAACTGGTGTCTTAAATCTACCTCTATCATGTTGTTGGGCCAGTGAACCAGTGGGCTGGTCTGTATGTCAATTTTGGGGCATGACAAAAGTACAAGCCAGAACTAAATAAGGCAACATCCGAGAATTGACGTCAACTCGGTGCTTCGTTCGGATTCACCCGTTTTATGGTAGAAGTTTAGAATTGTGAGATTTGCAGAGAAAGGAGGTGTCGATGGGGTTTAAACTTCTCTGTACGTCCATTTCACCCAGTGAACTATCATTATTCATCTATAACAAGGTAAACTAGGTTTTGCATTCTATGCAAATTGCATTTAACAAACTCTAACAAACCCTTTAACAAATGTTGTAACTTCCTGTAACATTTTTGGGGGGTACATGAAAACTAATTACAAAAATTTGAACCTCAGAAAGTTTGTTTGAATATGATTTTCTTGTTTTTTGTTTTTTTTTTGTTGCAGGAATATCTTTCACGTATATTGAAGAACATTGTGAACATTAGGTAAAAGTGCATTAAAATGTAGTATATGGTCCTATCCCAATATTGTGCAAAGTTTGAGAAAACATTTTAAAATTGTATAAATTAGAATAACAACATGTGTTGCTTTCAGGCAAGTTGTAATCACCATAATTTGAGCTAGTGTTGGGGATGTTACATCTTGTTTGGAAGAATTGGGGAAAGAAATGCAATTCTATTGCATGCAGCAAGGGCAATACGAAAACACTGGGCATCATTGACACATTATGCTCCCATCTAGGACAACAGCTCTTTTCTTTTTTTTTTTTTTTGCTGGAAAAGCCACAACAACAAAAACCCACCTAAAGCAAGGGTTAAAAACTTTTTTGCAAACACAGGAAGTTATTTTGAATATTACAATTTTCTTCAACCTTTTCTTATACTATACATCCATCCAAAAAAAAGCCTGCTGCAATAATGAATTGTTTTTGACAAACATCTGATTATGCTTTCCTAAAGATGTTTTTCACAGTTGGTGGCCGTGAAGCAGATTATGTCATCTTTTCTTTTTACTTAAGAATCATGAATAATAATCATATTCAAACAGATTTTGTTTTTTATAACTTTCAAATTGATATAAATGTAACTGAAAGGAAAAAAGAAACAGAATGGAATACATTAGTTCTCAGTAGAAATGCTGGTGTAGGTTCTCAGTCATCCAGGTCATAGTCATTCCAAAAAAACAAAAACAAATCCACTCAACTTGGGTTTTCAAGTTTGAAGATGTTTCACTTCCCTTACAGATAGCTTTTTTAATTCAAAATGTCAGGAATAGCATTGAGTTCCAGGTTTTATACAGTAGCCCAACAAAGCCTTGTTTTTGTTTTGAAAACATGCAAATTGGAACAGACAAAGGGGTCCCCCCATTTGGAATGGGGGTCATTTGGTTTCTTTTGTTAGACTGCAATACCCCTTCGTCTGTTCCAATTTGTAGGTTGAACTAAAGATAATAATAATTAAAAAATGCACTGTTTTAAACATTTTTAAAGCCTCTGTTTATCCAAAAGTGTCACATGTCAGTGATTTGTTTCCAAGAGTTGATCGTGGTGATATTTACGAATCATATTGACACATAGCTAAAAGTTTTTGCCAGTGCGTGGCGTGGAAACATTAGGCCATGTGGCAGAAAGGACATGGATGCTAAAACGGGTTTAACATAAATCATCCTTCATTTATGTGCCGTTAAATATCCATATCAAATGGCCTTGGGACAGGACCTTACCTGCAGCTGCCCTGAAGAAAAAACCTGTAAGGGATTTATAATACATCTAACATTGAAAGGAAACTGTACATGTGGACATGTAATTAGATTTTTGTAGTGAGAACTCCAATGTATTTTTTGTATAAACAGCCTTTATAACCAGTAGTTTAAAAATTTCTTTTAAATGCTAATTGAAACGATGATTTACAGTATAGCGCATTTTAACTCTTAGCCCATTATTTACTCTGTTCAACTTAATTGTGTTTGGTTTATTTTCACTAGCCTCACCCAGACCAAATTACTGACAGAACTGTAGAATCAACATGTTTCTTAAATATAACCTGTTTGACATAAACACACAGGAAGTCTAAGAGACTCCACATTTTCACATACAGTATATGCAAATCCAATTCTCTAAACTTCCAGTTTATATTCAAACCAAGAACCTCCAAAAAAAAACAACAACAGTGTTATCATGCATCCCTATAAATATTTGTTTTCTAAAAAAAAAATACATTCATATATAATTGCTGACTGATAAATAGTTAGTTGAATAGTATAATATTTCAATAGTATAAATAGTTTGAAAATGTAAAAATAAGAAAGGAGTGTCTGACTAGTGAGCAGAATATATCACTTCAGTAGTAGGATGTAATAATAACATGCTTGAAAATTAAATGGGAAAAAAATCATCTTCTCTGTTCTAAAAAGTTCATGAACAGGGAAACAGTCTTTGACATCCATTGAAGAGGACTGAATAGAAAAAATTCAGTCCCCAAAAATCTGCTTTATTGACCTCCAGTAGGGAAGTTCAGTAATAGGCAAATGGAAGCTGCAGGTAAACAAACAGGAAAAGCTATAAAGACCTTTTCTATTCAAATCTGCTCCTTTTATTCCAGAGGCACATTAAACCAAGCCACATTCAGTTATACACACTCACACATAATACACAGACCAGT